AAAACAAACAATAACAACATGTATAAAACATAAAAACAAACAATAACAACATGTATAAAACATAAAAACAGAGCGGTTAGAGGAGTGGTTGGCAGAGGCTGGTGAAGGTGTGAGAACAGTGCCAGGGAGCTGGGAGCTCTCGAGGCTGGTAAGGATGTGGCGCTGGTGATGGGTTATGGAGAGAGGACAGTTAATGAAACAGAGGAGGTGTGAACACACAGGAAGAGTGATGAATGTCCCACGGCACAGCACAGTAACTCCAGGCGACATTAGTAGGTACATGTTTCAGCATTACTAGTAGAGAGGATTTTAACTGTTCCCAACAGGGAGAAATAATAAACGTCTGAGGTGATGGGTATGCCAGTCATCCCAGTCTGATCATGACTCATGATTCATACGTGTACTGAAATACCATGCTGTAATTCATAAATATGTATCCCTAGATATCAGTAAAATATTATGGTGATAACACCTTTACCTGCTGAGCCTTCTCACTGGCCCAGAATTACTGACTTTAAAGTACAATTTAAAAAGACACTGTGGATTATAAGAAGGAGAATGTGATTTAGATTATCTCTTTGAAGCTTACTGGGACTACTGTTGAAACTAATTAGAAGCCAAGAGTGGAAGCAGGAAGGAGGTCTGTTAGCAGACCTGTGCCACGACACAGGTTGAGACAGTGACCTGGACCAGGGCAGTGACAGTGGGTCATAGATGCGCTTCCTGCTCTACACCCTCTGTTTCTCACCCCAAGTCTGTTGTCCTTCACAGCCAAGCTCCAAGCAACAACCAATTTCACTACCCAGTTTCCAATTCCTCCAGCACCCTACAGACAGACACACTTCTGACCACTATGCCACTCAAACAGTGCAAAGGTCCCAGCCACTCTCATCTTCCCCAAACCACTGAGTGCTTTTTCGGTCCTATCTGGCTTCTACTGACCACCCTTTACCTGTGTCAAATCCTCCCCTCGGCTTAGGGAAGATTTCCATGTTGGGGAAAATTATCTTAAGGGTGTGTTACATTTGTTTATGCTGTGGAACATTTGTTTTAATGATGCAAAGATGTGTTGCATGCTTTTATGTTGTATTTGTTTAACTCTGAAGTTGTGACTCCTTGCCTGCCTAAAACACTGATGGTCTAAAAAATAGCTGAGTGGCCAATAGTGAGGCAGGAGAAAGGATACACAGGGTTGGTAGGCAGAGAGGATAAGTAGAGGAGAAATCTGAGAGGAAAGAGCAAGAGAACAAGGAGAGGAGGATGTCAGCCAGCTACCCAGTCAGCCATGGGCTAAGAGTGAATGAAAGACATACAGAAGTAAGAAAAGGAAAAAGCCCAGAGGCAAAAGGTAGTTGGGATAATGTAAGTTAGGAAAAGCTGACTAGAAATAAGCCAAGGTAAGGTCAGGCATTCATAAGAAAGAATAAGACTCTATGTGTGATTTATTTAGGAGCTGGGTAGTGCCCCCCCCCACCAAAGTCATAAGAGTAAAGAGTTAAAAAAAAAAACAAACAACATTTCCATCACCTAGCATTCCTCTCTCTGCTACTCCCTTTCAATCCTCAGGAACCTTCACGGGACTCCCAAACTTCAGTCTCTCTCTAAGGTTACCTCTCCCGTACCCAGTTCACCATACGAAATCCTAAAGATGGAAACCTCACTTCTGTTGATAACTCCCAAATTAATGCCCCTGACTCCAGATGCCCTCCAAGTTCTGAACCTCCATCTACTGTGTATCTTCACCTGCTCACATGGACAAACCCAAGCACTTTCTATATAAAAGGTTTGGATGCCTTCATTATCTCTCAACACACACACACACACACACACACACACACACACACACACACACACACCTGCCAAGCCCAAGCCAAAGGCATCCTAAACTGCCTCTCCCTCAGCAGCTACAACCCCCATCACCAGACCCTCCTTCCCAGAGCTGCACATCCCGACCCTACCTCCTTAATATCTACTTCCCCTCAGATCCTGCTAAGGTTATGTTCAAGTTCGCAGCGTTTGTTTGTTTGTTTGTTTGTTTGAATTAAGCTTCTCAATCCATTTGCCTGCTTCTCGACTCACTGTGGCCACAGGATACTCTAGGTCTTCACCAAGTTCTGTAAATCGGATGGAAGGCAAATCTGAAGGCAAAGCTTCGGTCCTCAGACAAAGCGCCTCTGCCGGCAGTACACCTCCTCTCCAGTCATTCGGCTTTTGGGGTTCTTTAAACACCAGAGCTGTTCAGACTTGCTTCCTCCTCCCAGGCTTTCTCTACTCTTCTATATTCTACTTCATAGTAGAATATAGAATATAGAATACTATCATTACTTTAAAGAAATGCCTCTTAGGGACTGAAGAGATGGCCCAGGGGTTAAAGACACTGGCTGCTCTTTCAGAGAATCTGAGTTTGGTTCCCAGCGCCTACTTCAGATTGCTCACAAGCACACGTAACCCCTGCTCCAGGGCACCTGACACCCTCATCTGGCTTCTTAGGGCACCTTCACTCATGTGCAGACATGCAGGCAGATGTGACCAGTGAGTTATGGCTCCTACAGGACAGAAAACTACCACCTTAATGATTGGTACAGACTATTCATTCCTAATTTGATATTTTTCGAACGTTATTTTTCAGGCAGATCCAAGCTAGCCCTCGAATGGGAGGCTAAATCTTCCCAGTGCCTGTGATAGTTCTTAATTTTTGAAAGGGAGAGTTTTGGTTTTGGTTGTTGGTGATTGTTGTTATTGGGTCTTATATATCACCATTCTAGGTACAAAGCAAAACATGTTTCATATCAAAAATAAGAAAGCTGCGTAAAACACGCTCCTTCAAAGGGAGAAACGAAGGAGTACTTAACAAATCCTAGGGAAATACACAGCATCTAATAACCCAGCCCTGGGATTTATAGCGCTGAAGGGCTTGATGGTAATAACAAGAGGAAGGCTTCTCTCCTCAATAAACGCCAATTAACTTTTCTTGGCCATGCCGCTGTAATTTTAGTTCCCACCGTGGGCTCTCCTTCACTTCCGAAGCGGTTACTTTTCTTACTGGGGAGTTTACTCACCACCTCAAAAGCCCCTCACTTGCCCATCTGCCATTCATTCCGTAAATCTGAATGACAGAAAGGAGAACAGAGAGGGTGGAAATGCTAAACACTCTGGAAAGGGTGGAGCCAGGGCCACAGTCCCAGGGATGGGAAGGGTGGAAGTTGGGGGACGAGCGCAGGGTGGACTGACAACTCGCACGGACTAGGGCGGAGGATGCGATCCTCCGGGAGCAGCTGGTGTGCAGAGGAAGAAGGCATGAAGCTGGAACTGGGAAGGAGGGGGGTGGGGATTGGTGACAGACGGGCGATGGGACGCTAGACGCAGAAGGCTGAGGGGACGCTGAGGGGAGCCGCTCAGCCGCGACCGGGTCGCCGGACACTTACTCGGGTCCCTCCTCAGGGCACCGGGGGTCTCCTCCCGCAGCTGAGGGAACAGGAAGTCGCGCGCAGACTGCAGGTCCTGGAAGGAGCAGAACTGGACAATGGAACAGGCCATGGCTGCAGGGACCCCCGCGGGCAGGGGTGTCGTTCTCTAGCCACGCCCGGCCCGCCCGACCCCGCGGTTGACAGCACGGAGCCCCAAAAGCTTCAGACACCCGGGGGGGCGGGGACGCAAGACCGGAAGCTGTCAGCGAGCCCCGGGAGGCGGTCCCAGGGTGCTGCGCATGCGCGGACCGTGCCGGAGCTGCGCGTGCGCGAGGCGACCCGGCACACAGGGAAGGGGCCGTATGGAGCATGTGACTGACAGCGGTGCGGCTGAGAGTCCGACGTGGCTGCTGGCGCCACTCTTAGGTCCCCGCCTTGTGCAAGCCTGTCAATCTGGCCTCCCTCCAGAGGTGATCTAATTGGGCCTTTGAGACACCCAAGCAATTATTCTACTTCTACCGACACGACCTAGATAGTTCACAGATGAGGCGGTTTAAGTTGAGTTTTGGCAGAAAACGTAGGTGGCTTGAGAATTTCATAGTTTTCTTTTAATATGAAAAACTATCTTAGCATGCAATATATACTTGTACCAAAAAAAAAGTCTGCCTCGGCATCCTGTAATGCTCCTTCCTGTGTTCAGAAGGCTGAGGCAGGTGAATATCTAGGTGTTCAAGCTACTAACCTGAGGGGCAGTGAAGACAGTGTCTCAAGTAACAAGGCTCTGGAAAGCAGCTCCATAAGGGCTCATATTAACCCATCGATTGGCTCGGTGTTGTGAAAGCTTAATGTATTAATATGAGCTGTGCTGCGTTAGATCCCGTGTTTTAATCATTTGGTTTTTCATTCGTTCGCTCATGCAACTGCTCAGCAAATACTTGTTAGTGTTTTCTGTGTCAGCCTCATCCTAGGTTGTGATCTTCAGGGAGCAAAAAGGACATGGTCCCATGGTACAAAGAAGCTCGTGACTGACACAGACCAAGTGAAGCCATTACTTACGCGCTAACTAAAATTGAGAGACTGCCAGGCGGGGAAGGAGTAGAAAACACCAGGACAGAATATAACGGGGAGGGCTGGCCTGGTTACTTTTCCTTAGGGTTTTGAACTAGGAAAGCACCATCTTTATAGACTCCTGGAGGACTGGGGATCCGTTTAACCCCTTATATACCAGGTCTCTAGCACGGGATCTGCTACAGAATTGACTCCTTAATACATATTTACTGAAATGTGTGCACATAAGTTAAACAGGCCAACCTGATTATTTCAAGTGTATTTGAAAGCACCTTTCCATGTGTTACCTAACTGAGCCATCTCACAAATACCATCTTCTAAGAGTCTTTTTTTGTTTGTTTGTTTGAGAGACATTCTAGCTATGTAACCCAGGTTAGTCTCAAACCTTCAATTCCCCTTAATGTCCAATCTCTGGGATTACATGTGTGTAGTACATAATGCCTATTTTAGAAAGTGTGTCTTTTCCTAATTTTTTAAATAGAGAAATTTCTCTCAATGCCTCTGAGAGGGCTCTTGAAGTCCATTTAAGTTATTCTCTAAGGTGTATTAAAGCAAGAAGGTTATTATGTTTGTGTTAGCACTACGGCCCGTAGGCACTCATTTCCCAAAGGAAACCCAGGTATGCTCCACTTTTTATGAGGCGGACAGTATTACAGGAATAATTTTAAGATGAATAGGTGGGACATGGAGCATTGGTTTCTGTCAGTCCTGCTATCTACACACACTTAGTCCCAACAGTGACGTAATTGTAACTGAGTATGTTGCTTGTTACTCTTAATTTCTGCTCCTAAACTGGAACAATTTCTACAAAATAAGATAATCTCTATATTATCAAGTTTCAAACAGTTTTTCACCTATAAAATGCATGTTGAAGTAGATATACTATAAAGTCATTTCCAGCATCAGGGACCTATAATCCTATCATCACAAATTCTAGGAAAAGCAGTTGCCTGACAGAGTCCTTTTCAGGGAACCATCTTTTAAAAGAATATTGGGCTGGAGAAGTGGCTGAGCAGTTAAGAGTACTTGATCCTCTTGCAGAGGACTCGGGTTGGGTTGCCAACAGTCCTGTGGTGACTCACAACCCTCTGTAATTCCAGCTCTAGGGGATCTCCACACCCTGTGCTGAGCTCTTCAGGGACCAGACATGTATGTGGTATACATACATACATTTGGATAAGACACTTATACACTTAGAATAAAAATAAGTAAATCTTTCTTTTTGAAAGCCTGCAATGCTCCCTCAAGAACATCACTCAGTAGATGTTCTGATAATAATCCAGTTCTGATAAGGTTTTCCCTAAAACCTAGCAACTGTGCCAAACTAAAATAAAATTTAAATTTGGATCTGTACTTTACTGATGAATACGGAACATTAGACACTTCATGGAAAAAGACAATGCCAGGGTTTGAAAAGCATTCAAGTTCTTTGGGCAAATGCATTTTATGGAAGTAGCTGCGCTTGGCTGGCTCAGCTGGCTTTTGTTCTGTCCTGAGGCATTCATACATCCCCTCAGTGACACTCGCTGAATTTCATTACCACATTGGCTCAGCCTCAGAGTGAAGTTCTCTGTCTTCCTTCCAAGTGGTTTTGAAAAGCTTCATTCATAACGGTTTTGAGGAACTTCAGAAACCCTTCAGAGGAATTACAACAGGCCTAGGCGCTGAGCCCTTCCCTACTTGGCTGCCCTGCCTTCGTGGTTTCTGTGTAGTTCCTGGGCGACTGTGTTAGAGAATGCCAGTAACCACACAGTGTCAAGAAAGCGCGCTGTGGGAGATGGGCAGGTCTTAGACCCACATGGGCAGTTCTGGCGGCAGGGACACCATTAACCGTTCTCCAATGTCCCTCACCAGGAGTCACAGCACCAATGACTGTAGTTAGGACAGAGATGGCTAAGGAAGCTGGCAGGTCTTTACCAACCCTTAGTGGCAGCCTGAGGACAAAGGGTTCAAGCTGCAGGATTTGAAGCAGAGCAAGTTAGAAAAGCAATGGATTTAGAGTCAGGAGACCTGGGGTCCTTCTTAGTTCTGTAGTTACTTAATGAACAAGGTTGTTGTGGAATACTATTCTAAGATGTGTTACATTCGTTTATGAGTTGGAACATTTGTTGAATGATACAAAGATGTGTTGCATTCTTTTATGTTGCATTTGTTTAACTCTGTAATGCTGTGTTACTTTGCCTGCCTAAAACACCTGTTCGATCTAATGAAGCCTGAACGGCCAATAGCTAGGCAAGAGAAAGGATTGCAGGACTATCATACAGAGAGAATAAATAGAAGGAGAGAGGAAGGGGCAAAAAAAGGAGAAGGAGAGGAGGATGATAGGGTTCGGCTACCCAGCCACCCAGCCAGCAGTAGAGTAAGAAGTAAAGGAGGATACATAGAATAGAAAAAGGTAGAAGAAGCCTAGAGGCAAAAGGTAGACAGAATAATTTAAGAACAGCTGGCTAGAAACAAGCCAAGCCTAGGTCTGGCATTCATAACTAAGAATAATTCTCCATGTATTTACTTGGGAGCTGGGTGGCAGGCCCCCAAAGAGTTTAAAAAAATATAACCAACAACACAAGGCAATGCATAGCACCTTTCTGGGCCCTCTTTTCTTCCCTTCTCTTTTTAATTCTGTGTATGAGTATTTTGTCTGCATGTTTGTAAGACATGTTTGTTTCATCTGTGAAATCAAGGGGCTAAGATCTCAAGTCAATCTGTGGAATACGTAGGTTTAAAGAAGAGACCAGAAAGGGAAGAGAAACTGCTCCAGAGCTGCCCAGCAGAAGGACAGTTGGCTGTATTCCTGACTCTTCTGTGGTTGTGATAAAATACCATGACCTGAAGCAATTTAACAGGGAAAAGTTTATTTCTTTTGCCAAGGGAGAGTCTGCAATGACAAAGGAGGCCTGGCAACAAGAAGTCAGAGCAGAGAGCGGGGAGATCTCATCTTCAAGCATAAATGTGAAGCAGGGTGAACTAGAAGTGGGGTGAGGCTATAAATCCTCAAAGCCCACATTCAATGACACACTTCTTCCAGCTGGGCTCTGCCTCCCAAATGGCTGGCAACTTCCCCAAATGGCACTATCAACTGGGGAGTAAGTGTTCAAATACCACAGACTATCAGGGATATTTTAATACAAACCACCAAAGGTGGCCCAGCAAGGAGCATGACGGACAGGGATGGCCATGGGATCTCTGAGCCTCCCAACATAAAGAAGTTGCAGAAACCTTACCTCCTGACTTTGCTGAGGGAGATTTTTAAAGACTGTGAATAAGATTTTGAAGCAAGGTAACATCTTTTGATCCAGCTAACATCTGTGGATGGCTTATTACACTGTAGGTGCAGCAGCGATCAAGGGGGTGGGGGGAGGAGAACAAGCTCTTCCGAGATGCCATCCCTGAAAGCACATGTACACAAAGAACTGACAGGGGCAGAGTGTGGTGGGTAGGTGCCTTCCTGCCATGGCCAAGCTCGGTTGTCAACTTGCCATAGCTAGAAAGAGGGAACCTCAACTGAGAAACCGCCTCTGACAGATTGGCTCATGGGAATGTCTGTGGAGTGTTTTCTTGGTTGCTCATTGATGTACAGGGTCCAGTCCTCTGTGGGTGGTACTGCATCCCTTGGCAGGTGGGACTGGGGCTGCATGAGTCACTTAGCTGGACAAGCCAGAAGAAGCAGACCACAAAGCATGGTTTCTGCCTCAGTTTTTGCTTCCACTCCACGATCCTGACTTGACTTTCTCTCAATAGTGGACTATTGTTGCAGGATATTTGTTCATACTTTGAACCCAGAGATTGCGTTATTTAAATAAAACTAAACATAGGTCAAAAGGCAGAGCAAGCAGCCAGTTGAATGGAAGTAACCACAGAGGGCGAAGGGAAGTCGGGAGGTCGAGGAGAGAAGTACAGGAAATAGAAGGGAGGTACATTCGGTTAGAGGAGGGTTTTTTGTTGTTGCTATTTCAGATAGGATAGGAAAATTGTTTTTTTCTGAGACATTGGCAAAGTAGAAAGGTCAGTCGGCTGCTTCCTCTGTCTTTCTGAGCTAGCAGGCTTTCACCCCTGCATCTGGGTGAGAGATCCCAAGTCTTTATCAGTAAAATAAAAAGATACAGACTTAGTTAAAACAACATGTGCCTCCCTACGTGGAAGTGGCTTAGGTGCTGATGTGAAGGCTCCTCCAGGGTG